TAAACGGCAGTGTTCTTGATCAGCCTATCGTGAAATGCTAAGACTGTTGACGGTTTAAATGCTAGTTTGTTGTCGCCGCCAGATAAGCGTATTAACATCCCAAGAGGCACTGCTATTTAGTAAATCTCTAATCTGTTTATTTTTATGTTAACAAACATTACCAGTACTTCCTCTCCCGCCACCAATCAGCCTTTGGTCAGTAATAATATCTTCTGGAATGTGAAAGGAAACTGGTCAATGCTAATATTATCTGCTGAAAGCAGGTTAGCATGGAAGATTGCAGATTATGCGTAATACGGCTCATATTGAATTACATGGAAGTGGTCTGGTTGTATTTGAGCCCAGTATTAGTTGAGATTCACACTATGATGAAAAGCTCTTGCTTCTAAAGTGTTGCTTTTAATCTTTAATCTGTGACATTAAAGATGTACTGAATATCCTCAGGGAAGCTGTAAAATAAATAACAATGTATCTACAGAGCAGATATTTCAATTTGTCAATTTTCAAATGTCAAAGCACGCCTCCTGTATGACGTCTACATTTGGATGATATAAAAGTCCAGGCTAAATATATAACCCAACGCACATGTGGGATTTTCAAATGTCAGTATATTCATGGGTAAACTAATGAGACAGTAGGGTCTTTCGTGTTTAGTTCTGCTGTTAAAAGAGAGAGAGATGCGTGTTTAGCTGGTGGTTGCTGGTTATTTGTTTCGATAATTTGTTAGTTATAGTGATTCTCAATGTGAAATCTCCAAGCACAGAAAACAGAGATGTGTCTCAGTGTTTCTAATAAAGATTTCTCATGTGTAGAAATGTGCATAAATTTTTTTTTTAAGTTAACATTTATAATGGTGAAGCAAAAAATTATTTATTTCAAGTGCAACCCTTTAGGGAGGACCGCAGAATAAACCAGCATTAGGTTTCATGCAGTTCACTGTTAATGGAAGCAAATTTCCATTATTTAAGGAAATATATTCACTTTAATAAGACACTTTAGTCAAATTAACCATAAATCTGAAGGACAATAGTCCTTAATTCTTAAGGGCAGTGGCAAAGATTCTGACAAGAGTGCTTTTCATTGGATGTGTGGGTTTTTTCTTTAGTCTTCCATAGGAATAGTTCACCCAAAAATCCACTCACCCTCAGACCATCCAAGATGTAGATTAGTTTGTTTCTATATTATAGATTATGGACCTGTATTTTTGGCCAGATATGATGGTTTAAAGTTAAAATGCTTTAATGATGGATTTGTTTCTTATAAACACACACTCTTTTCGCTTCATAAGATGTTAATTGATGGACTGGAGTGCTGTGTTTTACTTGTGGATTATTGTGATGTTTATATCAGCTGTTTGGACTCTCATTCTGACGGCATCTATTCACTGCAGACAATCCACTGGTGAGCAAATTTTGAAATGCTACATTTCTCCAAATCTATTCCAAATTAAAAACAAACACATCTACATCTTGGATGGGCTGAGGGTGAGAACATTTTGATTTTTGGGTTAACTAGAACTCCAGTGAGCATTTCTCAGGGCAGGTTTATTTTTGAAAATCAATTTCTGGCAAGTATATATATATAAAAAAAAAAAATCTATTGACCATTTCCTACCATGATTGCCCAGAACAGTGTTACAGTTCATTTAACACACATTGACCTTCTGTGATACCATAGCTCAATAGCACATGTCACAGTGGGTAAAAGCGCCTTAAAGAGCATACTATAATAAGCTTTTCAGCAAGTGACCTATTGTAAAAATAAAACGATTCAAGAAGCATGTTATTAAATAGGCGTTCAAAAGTTTGGGGTCAGTATTTTTATTTTATTCAGAAAGGACACATTAAATTGATCAAATTAGCATGCTTTCTGAAGGATCATGTGACACTGAAGACTGGATTAACGGCTACTGAAAATGCAACTTTACTGTCACAGAAATAAACAGCATTTTAAAATATATTATAAAATATATTAAAACAGTGGTTTTAAATGATAATAATATTTTAACAACACTATTACTGTATTTATTTATCAAATAAATTCAGCTTTGGTGAGCATAAGAGACTTATGAGACAAAAACATTACCCCAATTTTCTCAAAGTTAGTTAGTATGTTTATAATAAATCATTAATATAGTTGTAATATTTAAAGCATGTGACAACTTTCCCCAACTTGACATTTATAGAAAAATACTCTTTCTATGAGAGCACAGTCTCCAATTTTCTCCTATTATTCAAAATAATGATATACAACATAACTAATGTCATTCTGAAGATAACTGTTGTTGGTTTTATTATATGATAATATGTTGTTGGCTGCCATTATAGCTACATATATGTTTATTTGTTGTAAGCACATTTTGTTCCAAAAGCAATTCCTATATTATATAATCTCTATATAAAACAAGTACAGTATACATGATTCCCTTGTACTCTTTCATAGTAACTGCCTACATTCACGATAAACATCCACGGTCCTATGCCATGTGCACAGAGACTGTATGAGCCCATACTGCTGTAATCTACTGAAAGTGTAGAACACAACACTCTATTGGCTGAAATCCAAGGTAGTTGTTAAATCAATACTCCTTTGAAATTTTGTTTTTTCCCCCTCTTGAGCTGCTTAAGGATTTCTAGCTCATATACAATGATTTTGCTGCTGGACATACGTGATTTCTATTGATCTTCTAATGAATTTCCAGCAGAAGGCGAATACTACTGCATAATTGATAATAATGCTGACCGAAAGCTTACATTTGAGAAAGGAAGATGCCTCCTGGCTAAATATTGTTATGGAAAACTGCTATCGCACAGGTAATGCAAACTTTGTTCATTCTGTAGGCATTCATAAATGTGTTAATACTGTTATTCTTCAGTATATCTAACTCGAAGGACTTTTAGAGTTAACGGCGTACTCCTTCTGGATATGAAGCGGGATTTATGCATATTTTCCCATCACCATGGGATCAAAGCGTAGATTTGGGTCAAGGGGTTTGGTTTATTAGTTCGTACACACCTCTGCTTCTTATCAATCTATTTCAGATTACATATGCAAACACGGCAGCAAATATCTCGCTACAACAGTAATGCAATTGCGGATACAACTATGTTCTTTCAGCTGCCATTTTAATATCACGAAATATCTTCACTTGGTTAATACCTGTGGCTTCGAGAAGAAAAGACATGGGCAAAATGAAAGTAGAGATGATTTCTTTATTTGATTCACACAAGATGTTATTCGGTTAGCTTTGGCAATGCTGGAAGGAAAGCAAAACGGCAGATCTCTGTGCAGGAATGGAAGTGAAAAGACGCCTCGGCGGCTTTAGGATTCAAGGGCATGCTTTTCATTACATCCTCTGTATTTGATACATACAACAATCTGTTTGAGAGGAAGACGGCAAGATTAATGCAGATAGAATTCAGTTGCAGCATGACGCTGACTACTGTAAAAACCAAACGTATACATAAGAAAATCTAGTTATTGCTCACCATCAATATTTTACTCTAATCCGATTTTATAGTCACCCAATGCCTGTTTTATTGTGGTGCTGAGTGAAATATAACACAAAAGTTGATGAAAAGCTGTATCTGTGTCGTTTGAGGCGAATGATCACCCATTCTGGTTCTGAATATTCAGCTATTCTCAGTAGTCCATCATGGCTACGCTAAAAGCAGATTTGCTACAGTGGCTTAGAGTGCAGCGATAACACTGAAGAGCGACGGTAACCTTGAAGAGTCCACTGAGAGTTTAGAGAATGTCACTGAAACACAAGGCATTGTGGGAATGCCAAACAGAGGCATTCGGCCAATTAGAGGAGAGAATCTCCTGAGGCAGCCCAGACCCAATCCCTGTCCCTTAGGGATCTCTCTCTCTCCTCTCTTTGCTCAATCTCTCTCGGCCTCAGTCGCTCTCCCTCCCTTGACTCTTTCCATCTCCTTCCTTCCAATGCGGTTTGGCTTTTAGTCTTAAACTCTATTAACTCTGACTTATTTTATACTTGTTCTTTACAACAGAGAGGCACAGATTGAGAGGGGTCAATCAGAGTTGAGCCCATAAGGGCCGGGAAGGAGAAACTTTTCTATTTCAATTCAAAGGTCTTTGTGGAAAAGAGTTTCTCTTTGAAATGCTGATTCAGTGGCCCCTGTGGGCCTGGAGTTATTGGACCTGCGGAACATTATTGAAAATTGCACGACATCTTTAAAATCCTTTAAGAGAGGGACTTGGTGTTATGGAAAAATACACCAGCATAGGGAATGTTCAGGCACATATCGTATTTACCTATTCCACAGTGACAATGGACAAATGTGTAAATGAACAGCAAAAAATAAATAAAAAATAAAATAAATTGTGGCACTGTGTAACCTTTTTTTAAATGGAATATTTAGGTAAATGCTGCTGTTTAGTTACAGTTTTACTTATATTTTTTTCAAATGTATACTACCATTCAAAAGTATGGAGTCAGTCAAATGTTTTCATTTGTGTTATTTTAATTAATACCTTTATTCAGCAAAGATGCATTCAATTGATGAAAAGTGACAGTAAAGGCATATACTGATTTAAATAAATGCTGTTTGAACTCCTGAAAAAAAA